TTGATGCCTTCTTTCCTGCAAAAATCATCAAATTCTTCACTTGTGTATTCTCCTCCATTATCTGTTCTGAAACACTTGATCTTATTTCCAGAATCAAGTTCCACCCGCGCTATGAAGTTTTTGAAAGTTGAAAACACGTATGGCTTCTTCTTAATAGGGTACACCCAACATCTCTTGGAGTAGTCATCAATAAATGAGACAAAATATTTTGCTCCGCCTAGAGATGTAACTGGTGCTTGCCATAATTCAGAGTGAACCAATTCTATAACACTTTTGCCTCTAGAATTTGATGTGTTGAATTTCAACCAGTGTTGCTTACTTGTTATGCAATGCTCACACAAAGTAAGTGATACATTTGTTAAGCCTGAAAGTAGCTTTTGCTCCACAAGGACTTTCATTCCTTGTTCTGACATGTGTCCAAGTTTATGATGCCATAGCATTCCAGAATCTGAACTACATGAGGCAACAGAGGCTTCTACTTCTAGCAAAGTCTCTCCCTTCAGCATGTACAAGTTTGCTGCTATCTTTTTGCCTTTCATCACCACAAGTGCTCCACGGAACACCTTCATGATTCATTTCCGTGTTTCAATCTTGCTTGCATTATTATCTAACAATATGTAGGATAATAAATTTTTCTTCAGGCCTTTAACGTACCGCACATCTCGAACAACTTTAATTGTTCCATCATAAATCTTCAATTTGATGGTTCCCACACCAACGATCTCTAAGGCATGATCATTGCAACTATACACAGATCCTCTTGAGACAGGTTTATAATGATGGAACCATTCTCTTCTTGAGGTCATGTGATATGTCGCTCCCGAATCAATGAGTCATATATCTGCAAATCTTTTTCTGTCTTCCACGGTGGTTGATGCTTCATAACATAGAGCATCTCCATCATCTGAAGTGTTTACGGTATTGCCTTATGGATTGGAGTTTTTATTTAGACTCCAACAATCCTTCTTCAAGTGACCCTTCTTTTCACAGTTGTCACACTTTAAATTCTTTTTGTTTCTTGACTTCGATCTACCATGTTTGTGACTGCTACTTTGGCCACGTTCTGTTGATATCTCTCTCATCGTTGTCAACGCTTCTGCTTGTTGTAGATTTACTTATCTGTCTTCCTTGTTCTTGCGCCGATTTTCTTCTTGTAGAACAGCAACTGTAACATCATCGAAGACTAGACTGGTGACATTACTGTTTGTTAAGTTGATGATGAGTTGATCATACGAATCAGGTAGACTTTGAAGTAGAAGTTCAACCCGTTCTTGTTCTTCTATTGTACATCTTAAGGATGTAAGCTAAGAAAATAAAGTGTTCAGTGTGTTTAAGTGCTCCGTCACTGAAGTAGATTCTGGCATACGGAGAGTGTACAATTTTCTCTTAAGGAAAATTTTATTGTGCGACGATGTGGCCTCGTACAATTTGGTGAGATGATCTCGTATCTCCTTAGCTGTCTTATTCTCCTAGATGGTTGACAATACTTCATCTGCTAATGCTAGATGAAAGTTTGCCATAGCATTCCCGTCCGTCTCGATCCATTTGTTGTCATCTGTGAAATCTACTGGCCTTTCACTGATAGCTACTAGACAACCATCTTTCCTCAGGATGACCTTCATCTTCAATTTCCACAATGAGAAATTTCTCCTTTTGAATATTTCAATATCAAAATTTGTTGTCATAACTTCTATTACAGATAGCTCCAACTATTTCACTATCGTAAATAGTTCTCTAGAACTATTTCACTATCGTAAATAGTTCTCTAGAACCTTCAAAGAATGGGTAATACCTTCTTACTTTCTTATGTTAGAGGATCCACCTTTTGGTGGCAACCACAAAGACAATAAACAGATATTCACACTCAAATCTGGCTCGGATACCAATTGTTGCGGAAGACGACTATCGGATAGAGCAAAATCGCAATTGATAATTTGAGAAGATAAAAATGAAGATAAAAGAGACACAAAATTTACGTGAAAAACCCCTAAATAATATAGAGTAAAAACCACTTGCAAAGGTTGCAGAATTTCACTATAAGAAAATAGGAATTACAACTTCTCTCGATCTACCAAGGAGAAAACAATGATAATTCTCTCTTGATAAAAAAAAGAAGAAAACAACTCTCAAGAAACTCTCTAAATTCTCTAGTATTGGGAGAAAGCTAGAATGATTTGGGATAATTTTGAAGCTAAATGAGCTAGGGTATTTATAGTTAAAGCTTAAGGACTAATCTTATAAATATACTAAAATACAATGACTAAATTGTGATTTTACCATTTCCAAAAAATTCAACAAATGTGGGTAGAATATTTTATTCCAACTTTCGGTGCATAGTCAACGGAGGATAACCATGCAACTTGTAGCACTTATCCGTTGTGTGACTAAGAACATTACAGTAACTACATTGTGGCCGATTCTTGCGATTACCATGATCAATCTTGACAACAAAGGTAGGTTCTGAGATAAGATTTACACATTTAACAAATCTTTGATTTTCTTCTGGGATAATCAAAGAAAAAACTTTGGAAATCAAAGGCAAAAGATCCATGAGAAGAATCTGTCCCCGGATATGAGCAAATGATTCATTCAATCCCATCAAGAACTGAATCATTTGTTCTTACTGTTGCTCTTCAAGCATACGCCAAAGACCACCACAAGTGCAGCACGAACATTTTTATAACTGTTTGATCGAAAAAAGCTCATCCCAAATAATTTTCAATTGGGTGTAATAAGTGCTAACCGTCATAGAACCTTGCACTAAATCGTTCAATCGTTTCTTTAATTGAAACAATCTCGTTCCATTCGATTTTTGGAAACGTTCAATCAAATCTTTTCAAATCGCAGGCTAGCGACAATATCTTTGGAAACAAAATTGTTTGCGCGTGTCCATGCATTGAATCGCTTTGTCAATGAAGCGTCTAGAGCCTGGATAAAACCAACAAAGAACCCTAGTTTGTTGTTTTTCGAAAGAGCAAGCATCATCGACCGCTTCCAGCTATGAAAATTGTTGTTGGACAACAACTGAGTAACCAAGAGCATCCCAGAATTGTCAGACTGATGCAAATAGTATGGATTGCTACCATTATCGAAGCTATCGTTCAAGGAATCAGGCATGATGAAGCGTGAAAGAAGAATACAACTGATACCGTATAACAACAAGTAATCGAATCAATAGAATGGAAAAATTCATTCTCTCTTATATTCACTCAAATGCAAAGCTGTAGTTTATATACAAAGAAGCCAATTAATTGCTAACTGATAAACTAACTCTCCTAACAGCCTAACTAACAATAATATATCATAATGCCTTTAGGTTTTTTTCCTCAAAAGCCGATTACGAAAATTAAACCCAATCTTACCAAAAAGAACCTTGGAAATGTGCTATGACGAGGTGGCAATGTTTTAGAACCTTTGATCCATTTGTTTGTGTATTGTATAAGGGTAAACTTTTTAAGTCATCTATTCTTAGTTATTCATAACATATATATCTTATAAATTCAATTATTTAAATCTAAGATTTCTAAAAAAGAATAATTTTCTATTTTATTATTAATTTTTTCCAATAAATTCAAATCTATAAACCATCTTCAATTTTTTTTTAATGAAAAGATTGTTTATTACGAAAAAATGTGATAATTATTTGGTCAATGATAATTTTACTTTGTAAAAAAAAACTCTATCTTCTTCATTTTTATGCCTATAACCTAAAATCAAACTCGATTGCGTTTACGTAAAAAATCAAAATTTTAATAATAGATTCAAAATCGAATATAAAAGCTAAAGTAAAAGAATATTCATCATGTGTATTGTTAATGACTTTTCTAATTTAAAACTAGATTAAAATGATGACAAATGTTTTACTTTTTTATTTTTGAAATTACAATAAAAACATTGGCCGTGATCCTTATTTTTGAAAAACAATTTTTAGAGCATCTAATAATTATCCAAAACATTGGTCGAGTTATTCGAGTTTCTATATTGATTTTATTATAATTATTTATAGTATTGTGATAAGGATTTGTTTTAATTTTTTTAATTTTCTCTAACCATAATATATATATATATATATATATATATATATATATATATATATATATAATATTTTCACATTATAATGTTGTTTAATATGTTAAATACAATCTAAAATTATAGAATATATTCATAATATTATATTTTAAAGAAAGAATTTTGAGGGTAAAATATTGATGAGAGTATAAAGGATTCAAGGAATTGATGGGAAGAACGAATTTGTAAATAATTGTAGTCAAAAGACTAAATTGAGTAAAATGTAAAGTTAAGGGACTAAATAAAAAAGAGTGGATTTTTAGTAAAAGAAAGTAAGAATTGAAGTTACATAGGTATTCTTTTGTGGTATATGGGCATTAGGTTCAAATTTTGTAAAAAAAAGGGCTAAAAATAAAAGATGAATTAAAGAAATAAGGAAATTATAAAACAAATTGAGGGACTAAATTGAAAAATAAAAAATTGTCATAAAAAAGAATTAAAAATACATATGTATTCTACGATGGTTTAGGAGCATTTGGTTCAAATTTGTAAAAATAGACTTAAAATGAATGAGGAATTGAAGGAATAATGAAATCAGAGACTAAATAGAAAATTGTCAAAATACTTAGTTAAATTTTTTATTTTTCGAGTAAATCGAATTTCAAAATTTCAACTCGAATAGAACTCTAAAACCGAATTAAAAATTCAAGTTGAATAGAATAACTCATCTTGAATAATTCAAAATTTAAAATAATCGATTTTTCGAGTGAGTTTTGCTTATCCTAACTAAGCATTAAAGTAATTAAAACAAAGTGAGACTAAATACAGAGCTATGGGCCTCTAAACTTTATATCAGCCCAACAAAAAATAGACATTAGTTCAAGCCCGTTCTTCTTCTTTAGTTTTTAATTTTCTTCAATAATTTTCCCTCTCTGGGGTTTAAAAAAGCAAGGGTTTTTTGTTCCTCAGTCCTCGTCTAAATCCCTCTACTTTTTGAACCCTAAAATTTCTCACCAAGGAAAAACAGCAATGTCATCGTTTTTTGCAACTCCACAACCCCAACAACCTCAGTCATTGTTTCAACCCCAACAGCAACAATCACCATTTCAGCAAAGCAGCAGCCCATTTTCCCAACCCCAACTGCAGCAGCCTCAGTTACAGTTTCCACAGCAGCAACAACAACAGCAGCAGCAGCAGCCCCTTTTTCTTTTTACTAATGACAAGACTCCTGCTAATTACAGCACCAAATGGGCTGATCTGCATCCTGATTCTCAAAAGTTTCTACTTCAAATTGAGTATGTTTTCATTTCTTCTTAATGGGTTTTGTTTTGGATTCTCAAAGAATGATTTTTTTTCTCTGTTGCGATTAATTAAAAAAACATGATTTTTCATGCATCTTGATATTTTTAGTGTTTTACCTGGAAAAGTTCGAGATATAAGTTTCACTTGCTAATCTGGTTTACGGGCTGAGCTTGGATATTGATATTTATTATTGTTATATGGCATTGGCACCCTTAGTAGTAAGTAGTGTGATTATTTTGTTGGAATGTAGGGAAAGGATATTGGAGTATAGAGATGAAAGCCAAAGGTTAGATCAATGTAGTCGCCTCTATGATTCTTCGGTTTCGCATGAAGGTTTCGAGCATGATGCTAGCCACATCATTCAGGTTTAACCTTTACTTTCCGTTTCATATTAACTTGTGCTGTTGTGTTTGCTTTCATTTCTGGTTTCTCTTTCTGTCAAACATTTCCTGCTTCTTTAGACGTTGCATTGAGCCATTGATAGAGAAGATGAGCTTTAATTATGTAGTTCATTCTTCTTGTGCTTGTTCACTTCTTATATGTTTTAATTTGGTGAATAATCAGGAATGCTTTATTATTCAACATGAAACTATTATATGATGCCCTTATTGTGGTCTAAGTAAATAAAAGTATTAAGTGATAAAAAGGAGATACTCTTGTTGTGAATATTTAGACTAGCTCTAAGTTCTAATCTAATTTTACTTTAGATGTATCGTTTTCTCTTTTTGTGGAGTGGCTTACGTTCCATTCTTGAAACTAAGCTACTCCATGTGCTGGATGATGGTTGAATCTATAACTATGGGTGGTTCATCAATTTGTTACTATTGCAAATACAGAAACAATTTTGTAAACTGTTAGAATGGTTGCTTTCACTCTCATTAAGTGAGGGTGTTCAACATTTAAAAGTTGTTGTGGAACTCATTGATCTGAGTTAGTTTAGTTCTTACCTCCGTGCTAGTTTTATGAGCACAAGAAGAAAACATCTCCTAAGTTACCGTTTTGGACCAGTCAGTGGATCCCCCCCACCCCTCAATCTATGAAGTATTTCCTGTCTGAATGATATGTATAACAAGCCATCAGTTTTGAAACATTTTCCCTGTCATTTTCCTGTTGTGGTGCTTTGCATTGGTGGATAAAATGGCATGGTTGTTTTCAACAGGAACTTGGAGGAATCACCACTGCCATGGAGAGGCAGAAAGCTTTGCTGCAGGAATTGATGGTTACTGCAAAAGATATGTTAAGGAACACAGAGGTTGCTGTTCGTTCTTTCATGATGCTTCGGCCACGGTTCCTTCATTCAAACATGGGAGGCGCTTCAAATGCCACTGCACCATCCCAGGCTCCAGGGGCAGCAACGGCACCAGGTTCAAGTGCTCAACCAGCTGCTACAAGCATGGTACCCGTTTTTGACTTTTACCATGGGCTTCCCAAGAAGCCATCTCCATTTCTACAGTATACCATTGTTAGATTTGAGAAATATTTGGGTGAGTGCCACCAGTGGATTGAAGAGTTGGAACAGCTTCTCCTTTTGAATTCGGACAGAAACTCTATCAATCAAGCATCCTCGTTGTTGCAATCTCTTCCAAAAGTCATGTCTAATGTTCATGACTTTTTTGTTCACGTGGCTGCCAAGGTAAGGAAGATGCTTGTACTTGAATCATTCTATGCACGGTTATGTTTTGTCTGATTGGCAGTACACTTAAGGTTGTATGTTAAGGAGTAGATATATTTCTTGTTTGAAAATTTATTTACTGAAAATGAGTTGAGACCAGGGCTTTTCTAATGTCTTCTTATGTAGTCCATCATTTATATTTTATCGTAGTCATAACATGCATTCAAGATATGATCTTAAATTTTACTTTTTACTTGCACTCTTAACACCTGTCCAGCCCCACCCAAAACAAAACACAGAAGAAAAAAATATTTGACTTGTCCTATGACTGTGTTTTGTAGGCGGAGAGCATTCATCAATACATTGAATCAATGAAAACAGCATATCTTGCTGATCACCGTCGTCGAGGAGATGTTAATGATCCTTTTCTTGATGCTGATCGGAGAGAAACTGCTAAGCAAGAAGCTGCTGCTAAGAGGGTACATCCAACCTTGCTTTTACCTGCAAATTCTCAAACATCAACTCAGGTTGCTGGGTTGCTTGCTGGCTCAGCAGCCTCTCCTGCAGCAGCCTCTGCCCCTCAGACATCTGCAGCTCCATCGGCAGCTTCTTCAGGAGGTGGATTGTCTCTTTTTAGTACACCATCTTCAACTCCTGCTTCTTCCATGTCATCTTCTCTGTTTGCAACTCCAACCACAGGTGCTTCCATCCAAACATCCCTCTTCAGCTCCTCATCAGGATCTCTCTTTGGATCTGCATCTACTCCCTCTCTTTTTTCTAGTAGCACACCAGCTTTTGGCTCAACTGCATCTGCTGGAGGTTCTTTTTCAATACCATTTGCTTCAGGTACCTTCCTATGCTATTATGCTTTCTGCAATCACTTCTTTCTGTTTTCAAGTTATCTCATTTGCAGGTCATGCTTAGCATTTTTGTTTTAATTAGCGACCCTGTTTTGACATGGATTGATGGATTTTGATCTAATCATGTTGTGCTGTCCGACTGATTTTTCTATTTTCCAGGTGCTCCAACAGGATCCGGTGCTAGCTTCGGGGCTGCATCTGTGAGTAAAGTGTTTTCTTGGCCTTCTATTTTTCTCTTTTTCATAATTGTCATAAAAAATGGTCATGTGTTTAAAGAATACCAAAATTCCGAGTATGCATCAGTCAGCATTGTCACATGAATCAATTATATTTCTCTCAACTAACCTCACCGATGTGTGTTCTTGTAGAAATCATCAAGGCCGAAATCCCGAACTGCCCGGCGTTAGTCATAGCTTTAATAAGGAAATCACGGAACTGCCTTCTGTTCTCACATAAATTATCCTTTGCACATAAAGGTGACAGTTCCTCTGCCCATTGTATTCCTTTAAAGTGCAGTGCCATTAGCTCTGGACGGGCTTATTGACAGGCCGTACCAGCAGTCCAGAAGTGATGACAATTCTCGATATGGCCTACGGGTTATTCCGTTGGGTCTTTTGCCCCTAACGCTCTATAATGACTAGACTCCACCCACTTTCACCTTGTTATGGGACCCGACCCAATACCCATCTGTTCTGTTCAAGGGTTTCGGCTTAAGAGGATTCGATTTAAATGTATCATTTATTGGCTTCTATTTAAAGAAATATATATAATTGAAGTGATTAATAAGAGGATGGAGTATTTCAATTCATTTATAAGGTTATATCATTGTCTGATTCATTAATATTATAAAAAGGGTTATACCCACTCGAAGATCAAATATTGTATTGGTTATGGTGGGTGGACTCATGAACAGGTTTACTAGGTGGTTTGGTTTAGCGGTTCAGCTCCATGTCTTCCTCAATTAGTAGTGTGGTAAAATATAATTTTCCAAGTCTCTATCAAAAGGGTCCTCATCAATCTGTTTATTGATTTGATTTGATGTGTCTCCCCTATGTTTATCTTATTACTAATTATAAACTTAAATGGCCTGGATTCTTCAAAATTACCGTAAAAAATTTTGTAGAGAGAATGTTTGGTAAAGTCTACGTTAGGAATGAGTCGTTTTCATCACGGATTTGGTTTTTCGAATAAACCAACATTGATACAAACACAGGGCAGCTCAAGTCTGATAGGTTAAAACATAATTGTGTAATTAAATTTTGAAAGATCACACAGTTTATACCCGGGTTTAACTCAACGTTAGGCTGCTTTCCATGATGAATCATCTTTCTGAAACGTTGAAATTGTACTTCTTTTGTAATATGTCGAATCGTGAACAGAGTCAGAACGAGTAAGCAAATTTAATCACGCAATAATCAAGCGCTAATCATTTGGTTTCGATCAAATCTCTAACGCTCTCTTTCCATACATCATGTGACTCCGTCGTCGTCTTCTCTGGTCGTTTAAGACAAAAAACACGCACACAGAGGTTGAAAACATCAATTGGAAAATATGCGATTAACGTGTTGAATTAACTCAGATATATCCATTCAATATCTTTATCCATGTATAGTGAAAACCTCTTATCAAATTCAAAGATTCAAACATTTTTTGTGAATAAATTCAAGTCTACCCAGAATTGTTGATACGCTGATGTTACATGGTTGGTCCGAAAAATGAATTACACGCAAAAGACAAAGCTTGAGTCTCTCTCATATTCATTGAATTGCTTCACAATGAACAACATGAAAAGAGAAAAATTGCACACTCGTTTGAACGTTATTTCTTGTGGTAGCCCCAGATAAAGTTGAACAGCTTCGATAACCGGATCGGAATCTAAATATTATCCCGTACACCCATAAAAACTAGTGTTACCTTCATTTCCGATGTTGCTAAAACTATTTATATTCTTCTTGAAACTATCATTCCATGGATGGAGGCAGAAGTTTGTGTCACAAGTGCGAATCTTAAAAACTATATTAAAAACTTGGGGAGCAAGATTATAAAATCTCAGTAATGCAAAATTAAACAATCTAGATAAAATACAAAGAAAATACCTAATATATAATAGAATTTAAAATTTTTAAGGGTACGATCGTTCCAGCACCCCTCAATTCGTCCATGATTCCAGGCTAAACAAAACAAACATTCCTCCATCTTTCCTTTTTCCCCAACATTATTTGGGATCTTCAATGAAGATCAATGTTAAGATTGTCATATAATCACACATGACACAACCTCAAATGTAAATCAAAACAAAATCCAAGTTTCATACGGGAACCGAATCTTGTCTTGGTAACTGAATTTTTTAATAAACATGGGGTCCATGTTCCTTCAACACGTTAGTGGAGAAACTCTCTCATCTGCCAAATAACTTCATCATGCTCCAACACTTTATTTCGTTTTCTTTTTAAATTATTTTAGAAGTTGCAGAGCTCCACTAAGAATCGACCCACATGACAGCTTTGTGTAAAGAGACATGATCTATAGTAGTTCTAGGGGCAAAGATCTTGTTCCTTATTTAGCTTTTTTCCTGTCAGGTTTGAATCCTCCATTCGAGTGATCACTTCGTTTTGTGAACGACCAGTTCGATTTATTTTAAGCGCTGGTTATAGGGTCCCTAGGGGAATGTATAGGTTTTAAGAACCATTCATCTTTCTACTTTCAAGAAATTCCCCATCCTTATCTTCTTTATATAACATTTAATATAAAGCTCTTTGAATCGATAAGAAAAAAGGTTGCATTATGGAAGTTGTCCTTTGGCACCAACACCAGCAGCTTGAGAAAAAAGAAAAATATATATCATCTGAAGTTCCCTAGGGACCATACAAAGAAAACATGCATATTGGTTGATCATCCTAATAATCACTTTGTGTTATTATCTAATAATTTTATTCTCATAAATAATGATATATTCCATGAACCAAATACATCTTTAAAATTTTAATTTAATTATATATTTTTCGTGTAAATTAGATAAATAAATTTTACATGTTATTCAAACTTAAACTTGAAAATACAGTGATTATCAAGATTTAAGTTTGAAAAGTTTATTATCATGCAAATTAGGGTGATGATATTATTTCAAAATCGGACAAGATTGGACAATTTTTGTCATTGAAAGTAGCATGTATTTCGTTATACTTGCTACAATCTATAGGTGAATTTTCCAATCATATGGGTCATCAAATTGGCTTATAGAGCAAGCCAGAGAAAATGTGTTCAATTAGTTGGAAATGGACCACCAATAAGTTAAATTTCACCCCCCGAGTGGGTCATTCGATTTGCTTAAATTACAACCACCATGATTAGTCGGTGCCAATGAATGAAAGAGCTGTCGTTTCAGATAGAGAGAGAGAGAGAAAACCGTCTCATGTTGACAAATTTATCCATTTTGTCATATTATCATACTAATCGTATCGTACTTAAAACTATGAAATTAATGGGTAAAGTATACGAAATGATTTCTCGATTACATGATGTTATTTTATTGAGTTTTTCAATTATTAAAAGTTATAAAATAGTATTCTATTTATAGAATATTTTTTTATTGAATTTTATAACTATTAAAAGTTACAAAATAGTTATTCAACTATTTATTATATTTCAAAGTCATCATTTTTAATTAAAAATTTGACGATAATTTGAAATGGATATTAATCTACTATATGAGATCTTATAAAATCTACTCATAAAATCTCAAACGACTATTATATGTTATACAACATATTAAAATTCAACTCAGAATATCGTTATTTTTCCAATGAAGAATGACTAGTTTAGAACATAGTGAATATTCGTGTGTCCGTTTTGTAACTTTTAATAATCGAGAGACTCAACAAAGCAACGTCCTATAGTCGGAGGGTCGTTTTATAACTTTTAAGAAATAAAGACTCAATAAAATAATATTTTATAATTGAGAGACCATTTATGCATTTTACTCAAAATTAATTAAACTTCATTATTATCGGTGCTTACTTTTAGCGTATTTGCATGCTTTCATTACTTTTAGATTATTTAATTTATATATTTTTTCTAGAATCAAATTATTTTATTGATTAAAAGAATAATTATTATTTATAGATGTCTCAGATTTAAACATCAACAATTACAACAATGGTTATTGAACGATGAAAGTATTTAGAACATATAATATTTTGTAATCACATTAGTTTATTAAAAAATAATATATTTTTAATTTAACTCTTATCAGATTATTTATTTATTATTATTACTTATATATATATTATGTTATTATAAATTTAATGATATATCATATGAAAATATAAAAAGTATTTTATGCTTTTAAAATTAAGGTAATATTATTAGGTTATAATGATTAATACGACGATGTTTTAATTTATTGGATATTATATTATTAATTATTTGTGATAAAAATATGTATTCTATATATAGAAAATTATTGTTATCATCTAAAAGTAAGATAATGTACTATAATTATTCGTGTTAGAAGAATATATTTCATAAATTTTGTATTCATTTATTGGATTATATTTTGAATTTAAGAAAATTACGTAACTTTTTTTAAATGAGGCAATATTATTTTTTTAAAATATATCAATTCTTAAACACTGATAATATTTTAATATTTTTTTTTATGTATAATTAGCTTTCAAATTCAAAATTTTATCGAATTTTAAAGGTATATCTCAAAATACGAAATAGCTGAAATGAAGTGTTGAATAATTACCTCATACGGGAATTTGAGGCATGGGAATTGTCCCATTATTGATATTTTTCAAGCCATTTTAACATGCAAGAATAGCTATCCCACTTGAGAAGAAAAGAGAATTGAAATGAAAGGAAGAAGGTGAGGAACCCTAGAAAGCTGCAATGCCCGAATAAGGGGAGACACTGAGAACGTGGGAGTGGAAGTGGGAGTGGGAGTATTACACCTCATGCACCAATGAGGGTGCATGTCATGTCACATTTTATTTGATTCCAACCAAATTTATTTGCTTGTATAGATAATTTATGATCAAATACAAATAAAATGACATTACTATTAAATTGTACTTTATTAGAGTGTGACATAGATAATTGAGTGTTTATAATTAAATTATTAGAAATATTTAAAATATATATTATTTTATAATCATCTTAGTTTAATAAAAAATAATACTTTAGTTATATATTCAAGTTTTAACAAACCGTTCTATAAAAAAAACAATTTAGTAAACCGTTGGTGTAATTTACCCAAATACTAATCTATTGTTATAGTGAATTCTTATCAATATTTGTAGATAATTTAAATCATATGGTCTAGAATAGATTAAGCCCGTGGATCGAGGGAAGGCTGCCCCACAGAACATTGACGGCGACCACATTATCTACCCGTATTGCCCAGACTGCCCGAAATTATGCCCGAAATTTATATATAAACAAAATATTAGGCACGTGTAAAACTCGTTTCAACTCAAAAGAATTATTTTTTACTGCACTTGACGTTAAACAATTTGATTCAATCTTGAATTGATTCATAATTTTATAAATCTGAATAAATTTAATTTTTTTTAAAAATATAGTTATAAATAAATATTCAAATAATTTAATTTTTTATAATTAATAAATTAATTTTTAAATTCAAGCAAATAACTTAAAAAATTATAGTTATAAATAAATATTTAACTACGCATGATGTATGTATATCACAATATATATATGTATATTATATATAATTATAAGAAGTTGATTAAATTTGAATCAATAAGTATCATAATATTATAAATATTTATAATTAAATTTAAATATAAACTCAAATAATTTAACTCAAAAATTTTAAATAAATTTTAAATTATAAAATAAAATTTATTTACTAAAATAATTTATTTTTTTAAACTCAATTCGATCCGATAAACACTCCTAAAATGGATGATAAGCTCCCATCGTTGTCCGCTGCCCATCCGTTCCAATCAGCTGAAGAAAAGCGATGGCAAAGGGCAGCCCCCTTCTTTGTTGTCAGTCATTGCATTCCTAAAGTTCTCGCGCACCGGACGGCACGCGCGGTCAGATGCCTCACTCTGCTGTACTTCCAATTCCAACAACAGTTTTTTCGTAAAAAAACACGATTTTATCTCTTCGTCCCTTTGTACTGTGCATTTTATAGCCAAACAGAATATGGGGTTTTCTTTTTCTTACATGTGCTTCTGTTTGGGTAATTTTCTTTAAATTCTTTTGGTTTTCGCATTCACATTTCAGTTTAACTCTCCCTCATGAACTGTACGATATGGCATTATAGGACCTATTTTCATTTTCGTACTTTGGTCCTTTTCAGACCCAACACAGGGATGTCTCAAAATTCCAACTTTAAATGCATATATATATATATTAATAGTACCACAATGTAGTACAGTTTCTACTTTGACATAAATGTCCCTTCCATGCAACTTGTTTGATCATTATATGATTTTTTTAAGTCGGAATTATTGATAGAGTCGACATGTTAGGTTTATGGGCCTTAATTAGGTCAATGTTCTTTCTTCGAAACTTTTCATGAATTTTCTATTAAATTTGATCTATGAACACCATACAAATTATATAGATTTGATGATAATTGATATAATTTTCACAAAATGATGATTAAATGAATAATTGATATAATTTTCACAAAACGATGATTAAATGAATAATTTATACAATTTTTTTATTTATAATACTTCTAAAAATTATGTAAAAAAAATCAACCGATCTGAATCGTATGTAAATCGTGTCATTCCTATCGTATAAACACGGGTGACCAATGAACCCCATATCTCATTATAAAGAATAAAACACGAAGCAATGTGTGGCACACGATGGGGCGTGGGGAGGGGCCGCCAATACATGCAGAGAACAATCGAGGTTCACTCATGCTCTTGGGGGCGGTCTATAATCATGATGGGTGGAATTAGCTTGGAAGGCCGGCAAAATTCAAGGCATGAGTCTCGGTCAGTGACTTTAGTTAATGGGGCACACCCACTTTACACGAACTTTCACCTCATTAGCCCTTCCCTAATCATGATTTTTCAATTCAACACATCCATTTTTTTCAACACACACAATGCCCTTGGACCCCCCCAACCCCTTTGATCATTTGTGTTCATCATCACGTTTTGTTTTTATTATTTGTTTATCATAATAATTGTGCTCTAAACATTGATTTTTTTTAATATCGCATGATTATTCAAAATTATCAGATTTGTTCAACTCCAAGCCTAGACCCGAGAAATGATTATTCGTTAAGGAAACTTGATTACTGTTAACTTTAAGAAAAATCTATATTATTTAATTAAATACATAGTTCAGCAAAGAGTGATAAATGAATTTAATTACCGAAAACACCCACATTTGCGGTTTACCTAATTAAATAATACCGACATGTGGTATTAATAGGGAACATGCGGCGAAAATCGTACAACACGAACCGATGGGAAAGTGTTCAATCAAAGTTTGTTTGATACACATTTGTATTTAATAGGAAACTATTTTCAAATTATAATATTTTTATACTATGAGATAAATATAAAATAGTATTATATATTTAATTTTTTAATTTATAGATGATATACATATTTTGTGAATGTAATTGTTCGAACTCGATTTTTTTATAGAATAATATCATCTTTTACTACTAAGATCACCAAATGAATTTTAAATTACAAAAAAAAATATATATTATATATATATATATACTACAAATAATGATGCATATTTGACACGGATTTGACGGGTTCTGACTTAATCTGATTCGATTATATTATTTATTTTTTTGAAAATTTAAATTCGAATAAAATTAATTTTTTTGATGAAATCAGATCAGGTCAGATTCAAATTTATGGTGGTATGTATGTATGTATTTTTTACTTAAAAATTTAAATTGAATTTTAAATAAAATGAAATCCTATTAAACTTAAATTGAGTCGAGTGCGGATAAAATAATCTAATTTTCGGTTCAAGTTGGAATGAACCAAAACCTAACTCGAATCGTTACTACGCTAATTAGAATTGAAGAATAAGGTGAGAATCAAAGGGCAGACTAGGAAATATAGGGAGAAACCTCCAAGAACTGATCATTATTAACAGCCAAAATTCACTTGCTTTATTTATTCTTTGATGATAGATATACACCATAATGATAAGCTCTTCTATATCTCTTTACCATTGATAGAATATTAAAGCATCACAAAGTCATTCTTATGCACCCAAAAACAGTAAAGAAAAGCCAAAGCCAAAGCCAGCTCAAGTGAGATCACAAAGGCAAGTCATGTTTCAAATCTCTCCTCTCATGGTCATGGATCATGCATGAGTTGAAGACAACAAACCCTATTTTAATCTCTTTTTCAAGCCACTAAAAACTCAACAGATAAAGAAACACATATCTGCTTCTTTGCTTTTCTGTTTCTTCTTTTTCTCTTTTGGATTGTTGTAGATCTATATACAAAGATGATTCAAGAACTCCTAGGAGGCTCTTCTGGGTTTAATTTTGGAGATGGCGGTACTGCTGGGAGGAAATTCTCCATCAATGGATCCATTTTGGATGGTACAACGACAACTACTACTGCCTTTACTTCTTCTCCATCCCCATCGCCTTCTCCTTCTTCCACGGTTTCACAGTCGTCGACTAATAACTCCCCCGCTTCGGCCGTAAAGTCCGACCAGAGCCAGAATTTGAGGTGTCCCAGATGTGATTCGCCCAACACCAAGTTTTGTTATTACAACAACTACAATCTCACTCAGCCTCGTCACTTTTGCAAGACTTGTCGTCGGTATTGGACCAAAGGAGGTGCTCTCAGGAACGTTCCCATAGGAGGTGGGTGTAGGAAGAACAAGAACACTTCTACTGTTTCGACAACGTTGGGAAAATCGAGTGCTGCTAAGATGAAGACACTAGTGTCGGATATTGGAAGATCTAGTCACGGAAATGGGTTTGACCATGAGCTTCAATCTAATCCAATCCTTTGGGCATCCCCCCAGAGCTCTAATCTTCTAGCCTTATTGAGAACTACCCAAAACCCTAACTCTAACACTTTGTCCACTGATATCAAGGACGAAGAGATGAGCTTGCTTGGATCACATGTCATGAACGAGTCAGCAGTTGGGAGCACTGGTGCGTTAAATGCTCGAACCCTGGGCTTGGATCCTCTTTCACAGGTCCCTTCTCTGGGACTTTGCAGCTCTTTGTGGAGAAACAATCAACACCAAGCTCAACAGCAACAACATAACAATAATAACAATGGATCGTTCATACTAGGTGAAGTTCAGAACACAGGGACTCAAGAACTCTATCAGAGGCTGAAATCATCATCAAATTATTACTACGATAGCTCGGCTGTAGTTCTAAGCAATGTGGGTTCTTCATCAATTCTGGAGCCGGCTCCAATTGCAGGTGGAGAATCGGGTTACTGGAATCCGGCAGTCTCTTCCTCATGGTCCGATCTCCGAACAACTAATGGTGCATATCCGTAACATCCCTTTTTCTCTCCCTTTCATTTTATCTCAGTTTTTAATATGCCAATGTGGTTGCCGTGCCTTCTGGTATATGAATATATATGGCTGTAGTGGTTTTCAATTCTTTTTTTCCCATTAATTTTCTCTTTGAAGTGTGGTTTGAGGTGTGTTTGATTAACTTATTAGAGTGTACCAAGGATGAAGACGAAGTAAAAACCATGGGGAAAAATGTTAGTAGTTTTATTTTCAGTGGTTCCACGTTGATAAAAAAAAGTGATCTTTGACTACAGGTGTGAAAAGGGTTTAACTTCAACTTAAGACTTAAGACATTAATGAAAGCTATGATTTAGTTGAAAGCGATCATAAACATGGCGACTGCCTTGGTTAAATCAAAATCTGTTAGGGTTTTTGCTGTTCTGATGATTTTTCATAAACTATAAGAGAGACTGAGTGGTGGGTTGCATATGAGATTTAAGATTCTCTAAACAACAGTGTTTTTTGTTAAAAAGAAAATAAGTTTGATAAAGCAGCCATGGGGAAAAGTTTTCGTAAACAACAATTTGATTCTCGCAGTGGAAAGGAGGATTCCATTGCAGCATTATGTTTAAAGAGTTCGTGTCTGCTCCTAATTGCCTGTTTCTCTGGAGATTGGCCTGCAGTTCTTTATTCCTTTTCACTGTCTTTTTTTAAAAAAGGAAAAACACCATTTTCAATCCCTTACCTTTTCTCTTTCTTAAGCTTTCATTCAATGTTATTGAGAGATGGATTAAATTTGCTTAATTTATTGCTTTTTCTCTGTGAAATTTGACTTCTACTAAGGTCCCATAGAATTAGGTCTGAATAGTAGTGTAACTCGATTGATGCAGTTCAACAAATTCGTGATTTGATCAGATTTTTTTCTTAATTTCCTAGGCAAATCATGTATGGATCGAAGGATTGACACAGACGGTTGGATCATGAAAATTTCAAAACTTTATATAATTTTAATATTTTCTTTTGTATTATTAGAAATCCGTTTTAACCTCTAATATAAATTTTGGGTCTGTCCCTTACTCTTACCCTGACTAATCAAACTTGTTTTTCAAGTATCATATGGATACAGTAAACACGTCCTTGCCATATAAGGAAAATGCAAATCTAGCAAGCACAAGTTTAATAAAAACTATTTTTGAACCCTAAACCCCATTTTTTTAATCCTAACAGTCACACCCTCGTAACTGAAATTGAAGGGGGAAGGACCATAAAACTAACAGGGGATGAAGAAAATATAAAATTACAACAATGCCACATTAATGTTCTATTAATGGAGGGCCTTGCCACAACGCAGTGCATTTGGAGGAATGTCGGTCTCAGTAAACAAGCTTTTCTCATTGTTCCAAACTCTGAGGTAAGTTTGCTTGCCTAGGAACCGGTCCGACCATATTTGTGACCTCAAGTTCCACATTCCCTTGTTGTCCAATGAAACCAAAACTGCTGTCCAGGAATTCGGATACACCTGCCAACGGTTTTTCTAGTTAAATTCACATGTTCCATTTCCAAACACCAAAGATTTAAATACATTGTTTAAATTGCTGCGGATTATATACCTGAACAGTGTGTCTAGCTATCCCATCAGCCAGATTGTAGCGTTTCTTCGAGTCGGTTGTCCACTTTCCACTACCGTACCCAACGACGTAGAAGCTCGATCCGTCGAGATGCCACGACTGGATAGTCGGTTCGGTGCTTTGGAAGACAATCTCAATGAAGTCATGGAGGGTGAGGCCAAAGACAGATACACCCATTGCCGGTGGCCTTGAAGTAGGAAAATCCTTGATGTTGTTTAAGGTGAATACACCAGGGATGTTAAACCAATCCGCAAGCTTCAATGGAGTAGTTGGATCCACATAAGAGATACCATTAACAGTGTAACGAAGCCTTCCATTTATCTTGGCTTGTGCATTAGCCAAAACAAGTGTCCTCACAATCTTTATTGAACCATAGTGGAATGATCCTTGAGGATTAGGCCTAGCTGCATTAGCCGTCAAGTTCAATCTAGAGCACCAAAATGAAAAACACAATGTTAGCATATTGTAGGATGCATGATGATCAGCAATAAGTCAGTTCGATTACCTTATAGTCCTGGCCTGTTTCATGGACCAGTGAACGTGATAAGTCGGGCCAATCGGCAATGGCAAAGAGGCCGGAGTGTTGGAACCCTGATACCGAAGAATACCGGTGGTGGTGAGAATAGGTTTAGTGAAACGTGTAGAAGCAACAATGTAATAGCCCTTAATTGCGCCACGTAAGGTAACCAAAACAGCTACGGATTGACCCGGATGAATATCCAACGACTCGTACGCCTCCTGCAAACTATGACTTCCTTCAACTTCAACTAGAATCATTTGATGACCTTGGATCCTGAAGTTAATCGATGACGATATACCGACATTTGTAATCCTAAACTTGTAAGTTTTCCCTGTAATAAACCAGGAACAAAGCAAAACTCAGTATGGTCCTATACAAAATCTTCTTGTTTAAAGGATGAGAGCCTTAATTATGATTATTTACCTTTCTGACCGGTGAAAACTGAAGATTTGTGGAGACCATTTATAAGAAGACCATCAGGCAAAGGAAGACTCAAGCCTGAATTCAGCTTCTTCCTCAAGGCCTGTAAAAATGTATATGGTTATACAACAGAGCAAATGATAGAAAAAAAAAGGATATATATATATACCTTATCGCCAGCCTTGTACCAATCACCAACAAGCAAAGTGAAATCTCCGGACAATGCAGGGTAGGGAATTGAAATGACAGATCTTTGATTAATATTAAGAGCCCCAAAACCACCAATAGCTCTATGCATTGAAGTTGAAGGGTAGTACATGTAGGTTCCAATTTGATCCTTGAGCTGGAATTTGTATGTCCAGTTTGAGTGGGGAGGGATTGGACAATTGGTCCCAAACACACCATCTTGCCATGAAGTCCTCCTTTGTTTAACTCCATGCCTGATTTCCAACAGCAAAAATCTGGGTTAGGTTATTAACAATGGAATTAAGCAAACAAGCTGAGAAATTTGCACACTAACCACGTAATGAGGAAGGGTTCATCTAATTGATTGATGACATTCACAATGATGTTGTCGTTAGTGACACCTTCGATTGGAGGTCCTGGAAATTGATTGTTAATAAGAATAACCTGCAAAATTGTAAAAAAAAAAACATGTATTTCAACGTTGTTCTTCAATGCTCTAAAGAAAGAAACTGGTGTTTATTGGTTGAATATAGAAACAAACAAACCCGTTGGTAAACACCAAGAGGGGCTCGAGTTCCATACGCGACAAACCAAGTATAGTATAGATATGGATCTTCTGCATTGGCACATAAGATACTAAAGCAAGCCAATAATCCAAGTAAAAATTGCAGGAAAATGGGCTGTTCCATTCTTTTCATCTTCAACCCTTTCCCACTCTTTTTGTTTCCCTAAAGATTAGAACAAACAGGAGACTTGGTGGAGATGTGTACTGCAAACAAGAACACAAACTTTATCTTATATATAATGCAATTAGATCACGCAAATGGCCACGTATATCCATGCATGCAGAACCTTTTTTGCGGCGCACTTCAAGCTCGAACTTTAGATATATATTCATCACCCATGTTCAGTTCCGCTGAAGATATCCCCGATAATCAATTCCCCAAGTTGATCATCACAACTGGTGTAGAGTTTCTTGAAAAATGAAAACTGCAGATCCATAATATGAAGTAATTCTTTATTCCTTCTGTTTGTTTATCTATTGAATTTCTTTGTGAATATTTAAGTAAACATTCCTTGTATTAAAATTTTAAAATTTAGCTGATAAAAAATTAAACCTTTATTTAATTGACTCTTAGGTCTTAATCATAACATAAACCAAATATATTAATTAAAGGATAATGACTTATTTTTATATAAAAATATTTGAAGTATGAAGCTTGTAGAAGAAAGGGCATGCAGGCTAGTTGACTTAAAATGAAGTGAAATTATTCAATATTTTTTTCTCATAATGTATAGAGATGTAATCACAAGTCATGTTCTGGATTTAATTTGGAGTCAAATCTATTATTAATGAATGATCAGTGTAAAAGACTTAATCATCTCTCACTAGATCTCTACTTATTAGTGTAAAAAAAGATTGAAGTTTACAAAGTCAACTAGTAATAAAAGCAATTGTTGATTAAATACTGACATGAAGAATGGATCCCAATGACAGATCTTGTAAGAGAAAATTAAATACACAGCATGTACTTTGCCCCATGAATCCATGACAGATCCCACTACATTCCTTTTGGTGTTCTCTAAAGCACACCATTGAAATTTATATTTTGTGAATCTCCAATTCTTTTCATATAAAATACAGGTAAAGTTCACTATATATTCATGATGAGCTTTTTCATATAATATTTACTCTAAACGATTTCATTTTTCTTTCATATTTTGAAGAAAATCACATAAATCAACAATTTATTAATGAATTTTAAATAAAAAATTGTTAAAATTTATGAGTTGAATTTTATTTCATTCTATTTAAAAGAATATAGTGTGGTTCTTTTAATGAATAAATAAAGTAGATAAAATATTGCAATCATAGTTTATTATATTTTGTAATTTATATTATAAATATATTATTATAATATTTTTTATTTATGTTATAACTAATTTTCATAAAATAAATTTAATTAATTTCAACTAGAATTTATATTTTTTTAATAGTATGGAGTATGTATAATGTAGTATCTACTCACAATTTTCTTAAACTATTGATAACGCATACACCATGCAAATGCAGTTATGCGAGAAGATGATTACTTAAACTGCGAGAAGATGATTACTTAAACCAACTCGGCCATTTCAACATCTCAATGATGGTTTGAAAGGAGAGATTTCTTCAATTATATAGTTGATGATGTTGTATCTGAAGTGAAATCATAATTTTGAAATATATGTCTTTATTTTTTCTTAAAAAAAAAGTTAAAGAAATATCAGTTCAACAATGGCAGAAGCAATGGCTTTACAGATAGTTTTAGGAACTTCAATGGAACAATTGGTGAGAGTTATTGAACAAGAAGATGCTAGATTTGAATCCATTCTCCATAATCTAAAATCTACCCTCGAATCTGCATATCCCAAGATTAGTGAGATGACTTGCAAACTGATGAACTTCAAAGGTTGTTGGACCAAATGAATCAAGCGATGGAGACTATCGATAAGAGTTCCAGGGTGACTTGCTGGAACTACTGCAAGAAGGGGAAATACATGAAAGAGCTATGCCGAGAATGGATGCTTCTCTTCGGAACTTCGTCCTCGTAAATTTGCCGAAAGATCAATAAAAGAATACTATCCTGATTCAAATTCACTTGGATCGGCTTATGAAAAATAAAAACAATGGTAGATGCAGGCATGGTTTTTTTTAATCAAAGTCAATACAAGGTTTCTGATGCAGATTCTACACAGTTGGACCATTCTCTATATGAGATCGGTTACGAGGATTCTAAGACGGGGCTAACAAAAAATCAGCAATTTTATGTAAATACAAGCAAAACAAATAAATGAGACATGTCTGAATATGCAGAGATTAATTTCAATGTAATCGCGATAGATGTAAACAACATCGTATTGAGTCTATAACAACGGTAATTTCTTTTTTCTTTTTCAATTCATTTCCTTTCTCCTCCTGCTACTTATGTTATGTTCTGTTAAATTTGATCAAACCTAGTTGAACAATGCAACATAGCAACTTCAAAACTTTGCTGAGGTCCCTTTGAAAGAATTAGAGGAAGAGGTATAAGCATATTAAGGAAATTCTAAAACCGAATGCCTCTCTAAAAGGGACTCTCTCATGTAAATATCTATTTATCATCAAGCAAACTACGGAAACTACAGCGCTATCCGAAAATTCAGTAGTAGGAACAATGAAGTTCCATAAATAATCAAGAAACAGAAGAGGTGGTGACAAGAAGTACCTCAAAAGCCCTATGAACATAATGGACGGAATTGAATCTTCAACATTTGGGATGCGCGATAAGAGCACAAAGACCAACGTCCTCGCAAGAACTACACATTAGATTGAACTTGAAAATTTAGAAGAGTCAATTCAACTGCTCAACCCAACAACAGGTCTGTCAACAAGACATCAAAGTATAGCAAATGGCTTGTAACAGTTCAAAGAATAGATATAAAGAAAACATTTGATTGAGTCCCATCAATCAAATACGAGCATTATCGAATCACCACAAGATTTATTGATAGACCGTGTATCCACTTGAAACAAGGTAAACAATTATACTCAGTATTTCTGAAGCTGGAATACTTTACCAGCCACCACCCAATATCCTCTATACTAATGTACAGGTGATGGACTTTCCACAGCCAATAATCATGTTGAAGTCGAGCAACGTTTCTAGCCTGGTAAAAATGCCTTGTGAAGTTTTGTCAAAATCACCAATAATCTCCACAAGAACAGTTCCCACTTTCAAAGCAATGGAACCGATTAGAATCCCTTACAGTTATTTTCCTGTTAACAATCTTTGATATATATTTAATGGCATTATGACAATCTACACATGTTCTCAAATTCTTGAAAACTTTGATTGGTGTTCCCGGAGAAGTAGAAATAATTCCAAACGCAACGGCTAACTTCTCACTGTGATATGAGAGGTTTTGCTCCTTCTGCTCCTCCTCCACATCGTGCAGCACAAAGTTGATGTCTGGGACATACCCTTCTTCTCTCATTCTCTTCGAAAGCTTACCTAAGAACTCAAGTATTTCCTTGGATTTTGGGTGAGAAGTATCTCCCACTAAGAAAACATGCCTCTCTCGCTTGACCTCAATCCAGCTCAAACCTGGCTTCTTTACCACTCCCTTGTCATCCATTAACTTCCTAATTTTTGCTACTTCATCCCATCTACCAGCTGTGGCATATATGTTGGCCATAGTAACATAGGTAGCCGGATTTTCAGGCTCAATCTCAAACAATGCTTTAGCAGCTTTTTCAGCCAATTCAAGGTTACCATGAATTCTACAGCTGCCAAGTAAGGAAGCCCACAAAAACTTATCTGGTTTCATGGGCATCTTATTAATGATATTCTCAGCTTCCCGAAATTGGCCAGATCGGGCTAGTAAGTCAATTATACAGGCATAATGATCAGCAGTATGAGTTAATCCATGTATGTCCTTTATTGAGTGGAAATATTCTAGCCCTTTATCAACCAATCCAGCATGTGTACAAGCAGAAAGAACCCCAACAAAAGTAATGTGATCCAGTTTCATATTTGATTTGAGCAACAAGTCAAAGTACTCCAAAGCTTCATCAGGCTGGCCATTCTGAGCATAACCATTGATCAAAGAAGTCCACGAAACTAAATCAGGCTGAGGCATACCCTTAAACACCCTTTTTGCATTCTCAACATTCCCACACTTGGAGTACATATGAACAAGAGCACTCGTAGCAAAAGACAAAGGATTAAAATGAATCCTTGTCATGTATCCATGAACCTGCTTGCCTATTTCCCCAGCAGCGTCATCAGCACATGCATTCAAAACCCCAGCAAACGTAAACTCATTAGGTCTTATACTCGATTCCGTCAACCGCCGAAACAATTCAAACCCTTCTGCTCGCCTCCCATCCTTGAAATACCTATCAATCATTGCAGTCCAAGCAACAATATCTCTATCGCCCAATTTATCGAAAACGGACCTTGCTTCTGTTATGCTCCCACATTTCCCATACATATCCATTAAAGCACTCCAAACAACGTCATCCAAATCCAACCCAGCTCGCGTTATTCGACCATGAATCTCTTTCCCTATAAGTAAGCACCCCATAGCACCAGAAGCAGCTAACACGCTTGACACGGTAAACTTATTCAACTTCGAAAGCAAGCTCATTTCTTTCATCCTGTAAAGCTCTAAAGCTTCTTCAGGCTTATCAAAACGAACGTAACCCGAAATCATCGCTGTCCATGAGAAATTATCTCTTTCAGGCATTTCATCAAATAACTTCTTTGCTTCTTCAAGCTTTCCTATTCTAACGTACCCAGATATCAAAGTATTCCATGAACACAAATCCCTTTCACTCATTTCATCAAAAAGATTTTGGGCATCAGACAAACTTCCGCATTTCGCATACATATCCAGAAGACGGTTACAAATAACAATTCCGGGTAAGAACCCAGAAAATTTCATATGTTTGTGGACAGTTTTACCATCGTTAAGAGATCGGTTCTGGCAGCAAAGCTGGATAAGAGCTGAGTAGAGAGAAGCTGGAGGTTTTTCAACTTGATCGAGGATTTGAATGGCTTCTTTTAATCGTTTTTGGTTGCATAACTTGTGTAATTGGGTTATGAGATTGTGAGTGGTGTTTGGTTTGATAGACGTTTTTCGAGGGAAATGTATCTGAGCCTGGGCTTGAGAAGAAAATGAAGAAGAAAATGAAGAAGAAGCCATTGCTCTGTTCTGGTTAAAAAAAGAAAAACAATGGGAAATTCTGGAATTTATTGCTTTCATGGTTTCAGAAAATTTGGCTGCGGTTTAGTATTTGGTGGAATAATATGATGGGTTTTGTCATTTATTTTAGGGTAAACTATACCAATGATCACTAAAATTTTTGTACATTTTTATGTTTCTAACTGAAGTTTCAAAAGTAACAAATTGGTTATTAATATTATCAATTTTTAGCAAATTGATCATTAAAGTTATCAATTTACAATAAATCAATCATTCGTTGTTAATAATCGTTACTGAAGTAACGAAATATTGATGTGAATGTTACAACTATATTGACTGTTCTTTGACTCCATAAAAAAGAATTTAACTTTTTCAACAAAAGCTCATCTATCTTCTTTTCCAACTTTTCCTTCATGTTCTTCAGTTTCTTCCTTCTTTTCCAACCTTTCCTTCTACTCCTTGTTTTTTTTATTATCTTCCTCTTCTTTTTCAACTTTTCCTTCTCCTCCTTGTGCTCAATCTTCTTCTTTTGTGGCTTTATACACGAGTACATTGCACACAAAAAAATCCAAAAACTCTATTTGAAGAAGAGGGAAAGGCTGGAGATGCTTTTCCAACCTTTCTTTCTCCTCCTTGTTCTTCATGTTCTTTCCATTCAGCTCTATGCACGAGCATACTCCAAAAACAATAACGAAAAAAATTATCTTTTAGGCATCTAACAAAATGAATTTACTCGTAAACGAACCATACAAGAATAATCAAAGCTTAACTTAGTTACTTCATGCATTCATTCATTGGAGATGCTTTTAGCAAAATTTAATTCTCAATACGCACGAACCCTTACTTCTGCATCCTTTTGCAAATTCTTTATAAAACCCATGAAGTTTTGAGATTAAATATGAATGGTTGCTTAAGAGAAGATGTATATTTTCTTTCTTTTTATATCATAATCTCATCGCAGGTAATAAATAGAACTACAAGTTATAATCCATCGGGTATTACTTACAGCCATGCAAGCGGCTGCCTTTGATATGGATATAAAACCTTTTAGTAAGAAAGTATTACTCGATGTCAAAGTCTACATGTTCAAACTTATTTGGCAACAACGACAATTGATAGAGTTGACACTGATAAGAGTCTTGTGGGATGATTTAAGTATAGAGAAATCATAGATGATAAATCACCATGAAGATAATTCTCTTTGAATGAATATGCAATCCAAATATTGTTTTTCCATGGTCATACATAGCTTAATATAGGGATGGCGGAGGTTAAACTCTAGAGACTCTTAATTGTATAAATGATTGTTTCTAACGTTCTTCAAAATCTAAAAGATAATTTTTGTGTTATTTTTTTGCAGTGTGCTCGTGTACACAGCCACATAGGAAGATGATGAAAAATAAGGAAGATGGTTGGAAAAGAAGAGGGGGAGAATATGAAGAAGTACAAGGATGAGAAGGAAAGGTTGGAAAAGAAGAGAGAGGGGCTTTCGTTAAACAAACAATTTTTTTTATGGAGTCAAAGAGCGGTCAACATAGTTGTAACGGGTAACGTCAATATTTTATTATTTAAGTAACCATTATTAACGGGAGCGATCAATTTATTATTTTTAAAACTTCAATAATGAAAAAAAAAAATTTACTCAAACTTTAGAGACCATTTGTATAGTTTACCCTTTATTTTATTCTTTATTTTGTAGTACTTATATACGGAGTATAGAAAACCTGAAATGTAATGAACTGTTTTCCCCTTCAGAAACTGATGCTTTATGATTTTATGTGGAGCATACATTGAAAGAGATTTAGAGAAAACCAGAGATCAAAGCATTTGTCTGTTGTTGACTCCAGCTTTATAGGCTTAACAAAGAGCATCGAAACATTGTTAGGTTTAAATTTTTGTTTTTTTAATAGAAGTTCGTTAATTTTATTAAAAATAGAAAATATCAAGAATTACAATAAAGATTTACAAGTATAACTGTAAATGTTTAAAAGAAAGTCGCTAGTGTTATTAAAATAGAAAATATTCAAAATTACAATTATAACTGTAAATGTAAACTAAATTATAATTAGAACATTTTCCTATAACCATTTACACAAAAACTAGTCACCTAGATCACACAAGGACCAAAGAAAGAAAATGTTAAAAAACCTGAACAAAATGGTCGAACAAAATAAAAATATGAACAAATCTAATTTCGGCAAATGAACTACAAAAGGGGATAAAGCTAATGAAAGATCACTGGCAAATCGCAAATCGAGTCAAGCGACGTGAGAAAACTATCTGTAATCCCTAAATCCAACCTAAAAGGAATTAGATTGAATATAGGGATTCTAATTGAAATAATTGTCCCTCTAGTAAACCATGTTCAATTTAAAACTTAAAAACTTACAATATAATTTAATGAAACAAATTATCAAATTCTAACTTCATATTTTTTTTAAAACAAATGTCTGAATAAAATCCTATATAAATAACAAATACTCGAAAAGTCATGCATTAACAGTCCAAAAATAATTATAATATTAAAGTCTCAAATTACATAAATAATAATAATAGTCCCGAAATAAAGTTACGAATATAAATCTGAAATAAGAAATCTGAATAAAGTTTCATATTCAAAATAACAATTTTTCTGAAAATAGATGTTGTAACCCTCCAAGTACCGGTTCACTTATATCTGAGTATTTGAAATAAAAATTGTAAGGGAGTAAGCTTTTAAACTTAATGTGTCTCTAAAGTGTAAACAAACACAAGTCAAAGCATAGTCCGAGTTAATCAATATTAATCATAGTCCGAGTCAAACAGTAATAAACAAATATTTGAATGTTATACAAATACTCATGAACTCGCCCATACTCCTGTCACGCTATCCGAAGAGTGAGTTCTACATAACCACACTATCTACGGTCAAAACACACCATGTGAGTGGGTTCGCCATAAGGGCATAGGCCATCAAATACAAAAAAGTTATATTCACCCGGTCGAGTGAATACACTGAACTTCCCTTATTAAAATACGTCCCAATATGATATGCAAATAACTCACATATCTTATATCCGAATAACACATATGCAAATAACATATACTTAAATATCATATATTCGAATTTTGATCTAATCCAAATAAGAATACAATTACATGATCCCATAATCCAAACACATAGTATAACCCGAATCTGATAAATATCAAATATCACATAACGTAATTTTATGAATTTCAACTGATACAACAATATCACAAAACCATTATGCTCGAAACTAACTTCCAAACAACATGTTTAACCGAATTATATTTAAAGCAACAATACACATGACAGTCAAGCTCACAACCAATTCCAAACAATTAATCAATCAACACGAAATAGATATAGCACTAGGTACAGACACATCTCGATAAAATAGCTAACGTCGGTTGTAGTCAATCAATTAACAAGAAATAGATATAGCATCAAGTAGAGACACGCCTCGACAAAATAACTAATGTCGGTTATAATGCCTATTACGATCAACTCGAGCAGTGGTTCGAACCAAATCAATTCCTACAAATTAATTTAATAAATAGATAAATAATCTAATTAACCAACAAATCTAGACGACTAAAAATATCAAATATCACTCACCTCAACACAAGTAGTATGGGACACATTCGAAGTTCGTGGGTAACGACGAAAAGGACTATAATTTGGTTCTCGGTTCGATTTCTCCTGTAAAATTAACAATGTCCAATTCAAATCCCAATTCAGTTATTTTAAATTACGAAATAATAATTTAACGATGAATTAAAATTAATTCCGACTTGATCGGGGAACCGACAACGGGTTTGACTTGAATATAACGGGCTGTCGACATATTTAAACGGGACCGTCAGCGATGAAACTTCATCGGCATCAGTCCCATGGACTGATAAACTCGCGACGACAGCGTTGCGAGTCAAAGATCACGAGTTTCGCACAAACATTTACCAACGTTGATGATAAAGGACGGGGTTGCGACGAGGGTCTTAAAGGATGACCCATGATCTTACCTCGGTAAATTAATGATGACGCTCAAACGAGATTTCAAGAACGACGCTGAACGAGGAGAGCAACAGTGGTGAAAAAAGAAAAAAGAAAGAAAAGGGAAAAAATGGCAGGGAGGCGGCGTAGGTTTAAAAAGGGCAGGGAGGTGCGATGCAGGCTTAAAACATGGTATATTAAAAGGCAGATTTACCAATTTTCTTCGTATTTCTCACTTGGCTACCATGCTAGGGTTTTTGTGAAATAAAAGAAACATCGGAGGTTGTCGAGAAGACGACCGAACTGTTAGATTTGTCTAGAAATTAAGTTGACAAGTTGAAAATTTCATCTTGGTTGGTGGCCAAACTTTGAACATGTGAATTTCATATTTGGTGGCTAACTTGTACACATTGGAAAATTCTTTGGTAGGTGGCTAAACCTTGAACATATTTTTCTTAAAACTCAACTATAAATAGGCATAAGTATTTCCATTAGAAATCATCCCAAAAACAAGTTCTCTCTTCCTCTTGTATTCTTCATTCTCCCACTTTGGGAATTCCAAAGAATTCCATTTGTTGTAATATTGGCGATATAGTGAAGTTATCATCCGATGTGGTACCTGAGGAGTAGACGATATTCTCGTCGAACCCCGTAAATTTTGTGTGTTCTCTCCTTTATTGTTTTTATTCGGTTCTTTTCCATTGTGTTTCAATATTCAATAGTATGACAGGTTTATCCGCTTTGCAACCTTTGGTGGTTTTAATCTTGACATTTTAGGTCAATTTTAAAACTAAGTTAGTGTGGGAAATAACTCGTTTTCCCCAACAATTGATATCAGAGCTTCGGTTGAGGTTATCCTGGTGGTTCCGTTGCTGAAAAGATACAGTTCGTGATATTGAATATTGTTCGTTAGAATTAAAATGCCAAAATACGGATCAGTTGAGACATCAAGCTCTTCATCTGGACCGGTGAGGAGGGTGATGTCAAATGCGAATTTCTCGGTGGAGTTGTTCGATGGATCCGGTCATTTTGGCATGTGGCAAGGCGAGGTGTTAGACGCTTTATT